AGGCCGGGTCCACGGCCGCCCTCCAGAGCTCCGCCCCCGACGAGGCCGGGTCCACGGCCGCCCTCCAGAGCTCCGCCCCCGACGAGGCCGGGTCCACGGCCACCCTCCAGAGCTCCGCCCCCGACGAGGCCGGGTCCATGGCCGCCCTCCAGAGCTCCGCCTCCGCTGCGGCCGGGTTCAGGGCCGCCCTCCAGAGCTCCGCCTCCGCTGCGGCCGGGTTCAGGGCCGCCCTCCAGAGCTCCGCCTCCGCTGCGGCCGGGTTCAGGGCCACCCTCCAGAACTCTGCCTCCGCTGCGGCCGAGTCCACGGCCACCCACCTGGGCCCCCTCCTCGACTTTGCTGGATTCCTGGGCGCCCACCAGAACTTTCTGCCCTCCAGATGTGCCTTAGAGCCATCTAGTGACTTTTTTGTGTTATTTCCCAGGGGTTCCCTGTCAGGTTTTGTTTGTCTCGTGCCCTCCGTCCTGTCTTTTTGTACCACCCACCCGTGCTAGTCCGTTTAATCGTCAGGTGACGATTCGTTGAGGGGGGGTACTGTGAGGATGTGTGTTTTGTCAGTCTGTGTTATCTCCCTCTTGTGTTCCCTCATTGTTATCACACATTCTCCTCANCTCCACTGCCACCAGTGCTCCAGAGAGGGTCGATGCCGCAGTCTCCTGTGTGRAGGGTCTTGGAGGGGAGGAAGTGGTGGTCACCACCCTGGCCACTGTGATCATGTTCCTGACTGCAGCTCTGGTGGAAGTGTTGATCATGCCTACTACAGTACCAGAACCCACTGAGCCAGAACCAACTCCTGAGCCCACAGAGCCAGAACCAGCACCTAAGTTAAGGCCCCCGGGTCAGATTGTGAAGTCCCCGGGTCTGCCTGAGTCTACTGAGCCCCCGGGTCTGATTGTGATGTCCCCGGGTCTACCTGAGGCTCCTGAAGTCCCCCCGGGTCTGATTGTGATGTCCCCGGGTCTGCCTGAGGCTCCTGAAGTCTCCACGCTGGCCTCTGTTCCTGAGGTCCTCAAGACAACCACACCTGAGCTCTCATCACCTTCATCTGGTCCTGCTTCATCTTCATCACCGTCATCATCTTCAGCTGTAGCTTCTGAGAGACCCATCTCAGTTGCTACAGCTTTTGGTTTTGTGCCACCCCCATCATCTCCTGAGCTGGCCCCTGCAGCAGTGTCTCCCGAGCCGACCCCTGCAACAGTGTCTCCCGAGCCGGCCCCTGCAGCTGTGCCTCCAGAGCCGGCCCCTGCAGCTGTGCCTCCAGAGCCGGCCCCTGCAGCTATGTCTCCCGAGCCGGCCCTTCCTGAGCATCTTCGTGGCCGAGCTCCAGGCCGTCCACCAGAGCTCTGCCCCCGACGAGGTCGGGTCCACGGCCGCTCTCCAGAGCTCTGCCCCCGACGAGGTTGGGTCCACGGCTGCCCTCCAGAGCTCCGCCCCCGACGAGGCCGGGTCCACGGCCGCCTTCCAGAGCTCCGCCCCCGACGAGGCCGGGTCCACGGCCGCCCTCCAGAGCTCCGCCCCCGACGAGGCCGGGTCCACGGCCGCCCTCCAGAGCTCCGCCCCCGACGAGGCCGGGTCCACGGCCGCCCTCCAGAGC